CGCTGATGACAGCTATTAATTTAAAGGGGACAGTCTGCTGAACAGTTATACTATAAGCTGATGGTCGCTAAAGCGACCATCAGCTTATAGTAGAACTGTAAATGCCAGGTCCGTATGGCATACTGACCTGGCCAGCTGGAAGCACTTTTGTAGGTCCGTATGCCATTCGTCCTTGGCAGCGAAAGGGTTAAGCAGTTAAAGTGACATTAAAGCTACAGAAATTCTTCCTCCTCCCCTAATACTGCTTTAAGGACTTACCTAATGTGATGCCTCTTGAAGAGCTTCTTCCTTTAACTCATTTTCTAAAGTCCTTCCAGCGCTGGTGCCGGTCTCTGATCCAGCGCAGATCCCTTGTGTCCCACGGAGTCTGTCTGACGGGCGCGCTCCCGGCTGCGTCCATTCAGCTTCTGTGTCGCTCTCGTCCTCTCCCCTCCGACGATCTGTACTGCTCATGCGACCACCCACACTTCCTCCTTCACAGCGTACGTGAACCGGGACTTCTGCAGAGGGAGCGAGCGGCACTGACACAGGTAAATTTGTTGGTATTTGCCAACTTTTCTTTTTAATCTTGGGGCATATTGGGGCACGTCTACTTATTAGCAGTAGATATATGCCAAAAAAAGAGACTTTAATTCTACTTGAAACTCTTAAGTGGAAAAACTCCAAGGTGTGTAGAGAACAGGCATTTGCTTTGCGTTATCAAAACTTTCCAAATGCTTTGCAAAGGCAGTGTTTAGTCTGAAACATAAAAGTAACAGTCTAGGAAGCATAAGGCTGCAGTTGCATTGCTTTAATTTGCATTGTTATTGAAGGCGCCAGCAGTGGATGAAGGAGACCTTAAGAAAAAGGTGAATGAGATATTATGTAGGCGGTTAAGGTTTTCTTGCCTTATTATTTCATTTTTAAAAATTCCTCTACCTGGAACCTCCCTAGCGTCACTTTTGCATCACACTCGGGGGCATTCCTGCAGAAAACCAGCAAGTTTAGGACTTCTCTTTTACAGCAATTGTCTTTGAATATCTGCAAAGAAGAGAAAAAAATCATCAGTACCTCTACGATGCTACAACCGTGTTTATTTGTATTGCCCAAAAACCCATCTATACACTGAGTTACTTAAAGTAGATGTAAACCCTAACCTAACCACATTTACTTAAAGAGGAAAGAAGGCTAAGCTCTGTGAATACTCACTGCTCCGCCAGCAATGCCATGCTAATGCCTGACGTTTTCTTTGGGGTCTTATTCGAGGTTTGGATCTTTGGCCATATTGATTGGCTGGCTTGGGATGGCACATGTGCACGGGAGGTAAATGTATCCCGGCATTGATGCATGTGGAGAATGTACACCGAGCTGTGCATGCGGCCAGGATCATTCAAATCCACTACCTCTGAGCCCATGCCGTCATGGACCCCCTCGTAGCCTATGACTGGAGAGTCATTAAGAAGCAGCACAGTGATGAGTTTACCTCTACTTATCAACGTTCCCTTCCTATCAGCACGTTGTTTGTTAGCACAAGGCTCTTTGTCCTGCTTCTTCCTCTCCGACTCTCAGCGCAACTGTACATGGTTTTCAAGAGGCTGATACCAAGTCAATTACAGGTACTTACACTATTAAAAAATACACTTATTGATGTATTAATGATTTAGCACCTGCATTCATTTGTTCCTTTTATATCTGCCTAGAGTACAGAAGAAAATCAATTTTAAATTCTAGGGGAATTTGTAAAAAAATTACAGAAAATACAGTTGTCACACAAGAAAATGTTCTTTAAAAAAAAAAATCTACATGTTGTACCCCTGTGTGCCCGCCTCACACACCTGAGGTGATGCAGCAGAGATGGATTAAGGTCAGATCGGACCCTAAATAAGGTAGCAGCTTTTGCAGTCCCCATCCCCTTGATTGACATTGATTAGCATTTCAGTAGGCACAGAGAAGCCGCCCTTTTTGCATTATCTGTATAGACATGGCTCCATCAGACACCAATTGCCTACAAGTACATCTTCCCATGTGAAGTGACAGACAGATGCACAGTTTTGACCAATTGTTCTATTCCCTTATTCAACCGGAAGGAGTATGAAGGTAGTAGCTAGACCCCCTGGACATCCACTGGATCCTAGGCTCCTGCCTTGGTTGCCCTATGGATGATCGGACTCTGTGATGCGTAATAATTATAAGGCAAGAGATGCTCTCAGGTCATTGGGATCTTGACCTGTCACCCTTTATGATTTCCTGTGCTTGGGAGAAGCTTCAGCGGTATAACAAGCCTCTGACTCCCAGCTTGCACTCTTGCTCAATTACAGAGAAGCCGCGCATATTCAGCTTCAATGCAAGTGACGTCTCAGAACTAGCTTGAAGTTAGGCGTATGTTTCTCTGCCTAAATAAAGACTACCATACCTCCTGAGGTTTAATGTCTTCTTTATCAATAGGACACTGTGATAGGTTACAGCATTCACTGGAAGAAATAAAAAAGATAGGATGTTACTTTTATATTCACTCAACAATAATATTAATATGTGATTATTTACTTTCTACTGTGCATTTTAAAATAACTCTATAATAGTCAAAAGTATGCCCCCAGCAAAGAAGATATTTCATTCCTAAACCTTACCTACCATGAGCAACAGAGCTGCAATCAGTGACACGGCGGAGGGGATACATTTTTGACCATTTTATCTAAGTGACAGAGTCACAAATCAATTATATAGACATTAGAATCCACTGGATTAGGCACTAGGTTGCGTCTAGCACAGGAGGTAGGTTGGGTTTTATTTTATTTCTGGCACATTTACTTAGTTTGCGACAGGAATTTTCTTTATCGTAAATAAAAAACGATAATGATGGTCAGAAACTAAAACACATTAGTGTAAACCTTCTAACAAACAGCAAAAGTGATGGTGGACCTTGGATGGATACTAAAAAAGAATAACCTTGACTGAGACTGATTGGCAACCTGTGAACCCCTAACATTTTTCTTAACTTGGAAACACGCGGGTAAAGGTTAAAAGCACTTTCAGGATTTTACTGCTATCCAGGGCTCCATTAGAGAGATCTCCCTTCACTTCCTGTCCTGCTAAAGTTTTACCAGACAGGAAGTGAAGAGATCTCTTCAGTAGCAACATAGACAGAAAAAAAAAAACACTTTTTCTGTAGACTAAGGGGCACGTCTAGAACATGCACCCCCCAGATCTACTCAACACGCATGCTTGTGTCTACAGGGGAAGAGCAATCGGATACCTCCAGCAACAATCTGACAATAATGGCCACCACCCTCAAATATATCCAATGTGGACAATCACTACTTTCCCCCATTTCAATCAGCTAGGTTTGTCAGTTAGTGTCCATGGACATGAGGATCATCCACTGGTCTGGCTTTTCGGTAGGTGGTTTAGAGCTGAACCATCGCAGCTCTCCAAATGTAAATATAGATTTTGTGTATTTTACACCAAATGTTCTGATTTTGTGTATTTTACACCTACTCATAAGTATTGTAACTGTAACCTGCTAGAAAACTGGAGAAGACTGCATGTAAAACTCACTTGTTTCTCAGCACACAACTCTCACAGAATCGGTGACCACATCCTGTTTGGTGAGGATTGTGCAGAACCTGGTGGCAGCTCGCGCACTTGTAGCGATCCTGTATCTTTTCCACAAACGTGTACTCCTGATGGGGCTCGAAGTCCAGAGACAGTCCGGTGTTGGAGTTCTGACGGGCCAGCTCCTGAGGGGGTACTGTCTTATTTTCACAAGCCATACCGCAGCTGTCCTGATAGAGTAGTGAAGGGACATCAGTGTAACAATACTTATCTGAAAAAGTCATCAAATGTCAAACTCTGACAATGTGTACTGTAAATTACGAAGTGTGTAACATACAAGAACTCAAGTCTTAAAAAAAGGAAAAAAAGGGAAATTGCTCATATTTTATATTAGATAGAGATGTAATCATCTGTTAATAACATCATCACTGAGGTTTAAAGGATATTCATAGGGTTATGTACTGTATATATTTTATTACATTTAGCAATAAAAAAAAACTATTTTAGTCCAGTAAAAATAAAATAGTTACATTTAAAATTAAATAATTTTACATTTACAGCGAAAAGATGGAGCCTCAGGTTCTTTGTCATATGTTTACCTGTCTCTTCTTAGCTGCTCTGTTGAAAAAAAGTATTTTGTGTACATAGCTCAAGCTCCACTCTACACACACACACACACATACACAGCTCAATGAGGTAGAGCAGTAAGCCCTCCTCCTCCCCTTCCTTCCCCTCCCACCCTACTCTGTTATAAAATGTATCTAAATTTCAAACAACATAGAGTGAGAAAGAGAGAGGGCCTGAAGGAAAGCAGCAGCTGCTGTGCTCTGTCTATAGAAAAAAACACTGTGCTCTGGGAATCCTGTGTCATAGGTGAAACCTGTGTTAAATATACATTTTTTACGTAAAGATTTTTGTATACAAGATTTTTGTATACAACCAAAGCTGTAGTTTCCTCTAAAGGAAATTAATAGTTTCCATTCAATTTTATTTTTGTATATATAATATTCAAGAATGAAAACACATTAAATGTTGACAAATATTTTATATTAACACTATTTTTTTTACTATTTTGCAATCCTCTGGGGGGCGAGTACGAGTCTGAAGTTCTAGGGTTTCAGATTCCTTTTGCATTGCTGTGATTATGGATCTAGCAGCCGGTTACACACAGCTGATTGGTTTAGAGGAGAAACACTCCCATCCCAGTTTCAACTGCAGAGCTAGTGCTGGGCTCTCATACTAGAAAGCCTAGTATGCAGTGCACATACACTGAAGAAAAGAAGCACTATGTATTAAATGTTGTATTTATAAAATAATGATTATATACAAATAATACAAAATATTGATACATGTTTAGATGGCAAGGCTGGAAAATGCATTCAATGTGGAAAATGTTATTGATAAAGCGGAACACACACTTTGCAATGCAATTGGGCCATCACTATGATAAACTGCTTTACTGGGCAATAGGAATATTTGTGAAATGGGAGAGGGCGGGCAAGCCCTGTCACTGCAAGCAAGTGCTGCAGCGTTGCCGATACAGAAGGGCCCGGCCTTGGGCCAAGTATGAGCAGGCTCCTCTATATGCTTACATTGTATGCCTGTTAGCAGGCAGTATGGACATGTGAGCATTGGCAACTTCCATGTTTCACTTATGTCAAGTTTCCTTTAAAGTGACATTAAAGCATACATTTTTTTCCCCCCTCCTCCAAAGTTAATGTCAGCACTTACCTTAAATGATGTCTCTTAATCCGATCTTCTTCTTCCCTGTCGTTTTCATCTGTCCCTCCAGCGCTGCTGCGGGTCTCCGATCCAACGCTGACTCCTGTACTTGCTGGCACTTCCTGTCCCATGGTGTCTGTGCGGCTGCACGCGTCCATATACTTACCTTGTGTCTTTCCTCGTCTCCCGGCTGAAAATCTGAACTGCGCATGCGCCCGCCCCAAGATGCTTTGCGGCCGCCCGGGATTTTTCAGATGTTTGGACGGGAGCGCGAGGTTAAGACACAGGTAAGTTTAAACCCTTTTTAAACTTTTTTTTAAAAAGTTTTTACATATACAGTATATACTGCTTGCTAGCAGTAGATGTATGCAAAAAAAGGGTTTAATAAACCTTTAAGGCTTATAGAAAACTAGGCTAGGACATGTTTGTTACCTTTGCTGGGGTTCTACCATAAGTCTGCTTACACCCACATTTCTGTGCTGTGGGGGGTAAACAGAGAATATTTCCTCCTCCACAGTAAACTATCCAGCCCATAAGATAGGAAACTTTTTTGAACGTACTAATAGTTTCCTGTTGACATAGGAGGCTGCCTGACCAATTTATTCTGTGGTTACAGAACAGAAGAGATTAACATTGAGCTGTGGAAAGATGAAAACAGAGCCGGTAGAGTATGACTTCTGTACTGTACAGGAAGCTCTTCCTGTGTGAAAGAGAAATGTACAGCGGTCGCACCTTTCTGTAAAGATGAGGGGAGTGCAGAATGGTTCTGGCACGGTCATAAAGACCACCCATAATAGATATTTCAGTTTTACCTGGTTACAGGCATTTGAATTCACATGCTGAGTTCTTATTACTCTCACCGATATATCCGCAGTAGCATTCTCACTTTTGCTCAATTCTCCTGGCTTTTACAAAGTCAAATGGTGACGTCCTGCTTTGTTGATGGATCTTCTATATTAGGACTAGGCAACCTTGGCACTCCAGCTGTTGTGGAACTATAGGTCCCATGAGGCATGGCAAGGCTCTGACAGCCACTGGCATGACCACCATAGGTAGAGGCATGATGGGATTTGGTTTCAGCTGGAGTGCCGAGGTTTCCTACCTTTGCTCTATAACCTTGGTTCTCAACTTGTGGCTCGTGACCCCCTATTCAGATGCATACCTTCCACTTTTCTAAGATCCTCAGCGTCCCCCCACTGTCAAGTCTCACGCCAAGCAGCCATTCAAAATATTCTGCCAAGTGTCAACTTGAGGTGGGGCGGGGTGGGATGGGGCTATGGCCACGAGGAAGCCCCATCCATACGTGCATTGGTTACAGCACCCTCACGAGGCCTATAGGAGGTGCCTGGACCAGAGTGATGTCACACCTCTATAGCACAGGCAAGGGAGCTGTACAAGCAATGCACACATGGATGGAGCTCCATCACAGCACAGCAGCCCACACTGGACCCCAGGCTGAGGATCCACTTTAGTTCTCGTGAGATTGTGTCAATGGTGGTGTGGTACTGTCAGTGTTAACACTAGTACAGTGTGTTCATTGCAGAGTCCCGTGCAATTAATGCAGTGTACCACGCAATCACACCCACCTATCATTTGAATGGCACCACAAACGCACCTCCCACACACAGTTCGATTGTTCACACCGGAACGCGTGGTACTGCAATGCTGTGACTTGGGTTATTACTTAAAGTGGTTCTAAAGCCTCCAGTTTTTTTGCATATATCTACTGCTAGCAAGCAAAAAAAAAAAAAAAAACACCCT